CGCAATAACACATCGATGCCAATAGCTGGGTCGATATACAGGGTGTTTGAGTTGAATATAAATTGAAAATATATACAGCTGTTCCACTGGTAGGCCACCACACTTTAGGTGGGCTCGGCAAACAGATAGGTAATGCATGACAGATGACGTATAACAGATGTTCGTTGACAGATATCAAACTTTCGATGACACGTGACTAGGCGACCTGCAAGCTAGCTACCTCGCAAGCCATCAGTTCAATAACAAAATTGAATATTTATATACAGGGTGTGAGAGTTGAATAAAAATTGAGAAAATTCATAGGGCAACTCATGAGTAGACCACCACACTTTGGGTGGGCAAACAGATAGCTGACGTATGACGTATGGCAGATGACGTTTGATAGTAGGCTGTTGACAGGATCAATGACACGTGACCAGGCGAAATATTTTTCATTAATTTTTCCCTAGATTCTACGGAAGTTTCAATTTGCGGGTCATCAGAGCCTATGTAAAGCAGATTAGATTTTCCCTAGATCTAGGTACTCTTTCGAATGTGGATAACAAAATGCATCAATAAATCATTCCAGAATTACGTCATTTGATAGGTTGCTGAGGGGCAAACATTGTATTTTGTCAAGATATGTCATATGAAACCAGGATAAGTGGGATCGTTTTCCTTGGAATCCGAGTTGGAACCTGAAAGAATTCCATAATTGTGTTTGGTTATACTGTTAATATATTGTAGATGTGGCAGGGATGGCCAGGGCTATGCTCATCAAAGGTAACCTCTAACAGATAGTTTGTGTGCCCCTCAAAAAACCATGTCAAAATCACGTGTTCTAGAATGATCAATAACAGGGTCGATATACAGGCTGTTTGAATTGAAATATACAAGGTTAGACCACCACATTTCAGGCGGTAATAGATTCAGAAGTCTTCAGATCACACCTATAAAAGTATTCAGAGATATTCGGAGGTCTTCAGATCACGCCTTCAGAGTTATTCAGATGTCTTCAGAGGTATTCAAGAGTATTCAGATGTATTCAAAAGTCTACAGTTGTATATCATACACCATAGCGTTCACATCATGGAGTCTAAACCACATTCATCAGAGCAAGCATCAGATAAGTATCACTGTGCAGATTATGATAATGCTTATGGACCGAAATATGTTGACGGCAGATGGACACTCGGACATAAGAATCTACGCTTTGAGGGCCAACACATAGTCGTAGATAATGTCGATTTTAAAAGTACTCTAGGTCTTGGAATTATTATTTTTCAAGAACCCCCGAAATTACACGCCGCTGGTTCACCAGATGTATAAACAGATGCTAGAAATCAGCTCTATTCATAGAGATCGAGTAGGCCGTTTAAGAGGACAAGCCGATAAAGAGGAATTCGATATAATTATCAGACCCCTCTCCAAAAATAAGACCAAGCCTAAACGTCCAAAGTCGAGCGTAGAGCCTGAAGCCGGCACGCAATGTAGTAGGAATGAAGAGTACAATATTTTAGATGAATGGGCAGATTCGAATATCTCGGTGGATAGACTGAGATATTCAATGGAATCAGATAAGAACAACAACAAGATCGCCTTTATTCTTACTGGACTCGAAAATTTCGGTATAATGTCTAAAAATGAATGATGTCAAAATTATCCGTTTTTTATCCAACACCTGGCAGGCGATGACTCACAATGACTACTCAACTTGGCATACAAAAATATATATATAAAAACCCTGTATAATGACTGGTAGGTAGTGTGATGGAATCTTAAATTTTTTTTTATTTATTACGGAATATATCGAACAACTCTTAACCAGAACTCGAAATGTAAGAGGGCACTAGAGGCTCAGGGCGTTAGGCATCAGAGATTATACAGAAAAAATTCACATGGCAGCCTTCAGACAAAGAGAATATATAGCTGTCGAATACTCTACAAGAAAGATTCTTCATCTATATGCAAAGTCGGAAAATTCTCTAGATATCATCATACTCAGAGGTAGCAATGAGAATGATATCGTAGGTATCTGGAAAGCTCCAAATATATAAGACTGATAATGCTGAACATTCTGCATCAAACAACGAGAAAAGAACACCCTTCCACCGTCCACCTTGGCATATATCGAACAACTATTTACACCAAAAACTCATATAACAGCTCAGTGTTTCACCATAGGAGGTATTCTGGTTGGTTCATGGAATATGTCGAACAACTCTCTACCAAAACTGGTAATCTGAGTCACAGGAACTAGCGGATAGCGTTTAGTGCGATGGGATGTGATCCGCAGAAAGCGAAATAGGTATCATGTTTCGGGTGATCTAATATGAAAGCATACCCGATCAGACCTTAAAAAAATCTGTCACATAGAAATCTCATATATTGTAGGCCAATTCAAATCAACTTCCGACAATATTCCTCAGTCTTCAGTCACGTGACCTGATAGATCGTGAAACGTTTATTTGGTCATAACTGCAGAAATATATGTTTCAACTATACGAGGTGTTTTTGAAATAATCAGGTATCTGTATTCAGCACATCGAAATATAATATTCTTATATCAGATATCTTAAAATTCCTCAAATCAACAGGAAATTGCATCCAAAAAATTGAACTAAAACAGGAAAACATCAAAAATATCTGAATAATTGAACTCAGCACAAAAAATTCATGTAGATAGAACGTTATAGGATTGTTACAGAGTGAAACTATATAGGTGTAAAATTGGTCTCGCCTCACCTATATGTCATTCGATAGTATAAACGTCTCGACGTTCGAAATTTTCACGCTTATTCCAATACAGCCCAGTATATGAAGAAATGTGGTTATAAAGCATTCACCTTTAGCTTTTTTCACCTTAGCAGGCTTAGATTCGATGAAAATCTGGATAATGAATGAAAATAGTGAGAAGACGATTCAGATAGAACAAAACCGCCATTCTCATATCCCTGTACATGATTTTTTAAAAGCACACATCACTACCATCACAAATAATTCACACGAACGGCATTTCTGAGAATCAACGCCATTTAATCGACAAGAAATTTCACATAACGTCCACGATATGACTGAACAAATATAGAAAAAGAAACTTGATAGTCAGCAGGAAACCTGATAACAGCTTCCTATATTCCAATTAAACGTTGATAATGCATGTTTAGCGATAAAAAAAATGTATCGAACAACATATGAATTACCACGAGGAAAGAAATGTAATATACAGGATGATTAAAAACCTGAATCAGATGAAATATTCGAGAGACCTATCACTTAACATCATAACAATACATATAGTTCTCGACTGCGATATCTGAAAACAATAAGGCTACCGACGATCTGTGACAGACCATTGGAAATAAACAGTACTCCTGAGGATGAACACTCAAATACATTGATTTGCGCAGAGTTTCAATGTTTGCGAGATATCAATAAAGGATGGAGAGCCGTGAATAACCTATATTGTCATGATATCTTCCATAAAGCTAGTATTGGAACTTCTTAATAACACTAACAATAGATGCGCGAATTCAATACTCTACTTTTTCAACGACATCGTTACAAATGATGCTAGATAGATGACACTTGACAGATACCACTTAACACATAAGGCGTTTTGCAGATGATGTATAATTGACAGGAG